TTTGGAGGGAGGGAGTAATTAAGTAATATGTATTTTCTTACCTTTCCTTAAGGGGCTATTTGGTCGGGAAACTTTATCTTTTAAACTTCTCTAAATATTTTTTATAAAGTTATTGATGTATTTTTGTATTACTATTATAAAAAAAAAAGAAGTAAAAGTGATATTTTTAATTTTTATTTTTTTTGATACAATTCTTAACCTATAAATGTTTTTTACATTTTCTAGAAGAAAAAGGTTTTCTTCCTAACTTTTCTTATGTAGAATATATTTGGACAATTTTTTTACAAATTTATCTTATACTAATTTTTTTTCTAAACACAAATAAATTAATAATTTAATAAAATTTTACTACAAAATTTATCAACTTTTTATATAATATTTATCAACTTTCATACAATATTTTACTAATTATTTTTTCAATAAAAATTTTCTTAATAAAGTTGACTTTCTAGCCAAACAATCTTAAAGATATATCTAATTTGAGGAAAATGATTATTTTTTTGAAAAATTAAATTATAATAATATTATAATTTAATTGTTTAAAAAAGTCATTTCTACCCTTCTTTTCCTTCTATTTTTCTCAAACAAGAGAAACGCTAAGGAATAGGTATTCTTTTTTTTTCGAAGAAACTCTCAACGTTATATAATAAGCTTTTCAATTTTACTCTATTTTCATATGATTTATTCCAGAAATAACTATTATTCCCAACTAAAAAATTGCCATAACAAGGGTGGGCTCTTTGTGATGGCAGTCTTTTAGCCCTTATGGGAAGAGAGGCGATGACTTTCAGCTACTTTAGTTTGTTGTTTCCCCTGTTATATGTAACTCAAATGTTAGATCTGGATCCTGATTCAGCTACAAATCTATAAACTCTGCTGTTTGTTCTTATTTTTATGTCTTGGGTGTTTTTGCCTATAGAATCCAGCTGTGATATGATTTTTTATTTTTTTCAATAGAGTTTTACTCCTTTTCTTAAAAGGAAAAAATAAAAAGTATTTCCATAGCTTCCTGCTACATTTGCCCCGCATGCAACTAGAGCCAAACAAAAGATCTCCTCAATCAACTTGATTTCTCTCTTCCATTACATCTAACAAATCTTCGTTGATTTCTCCCTCGCTTCGTGTTGTTCCTCAAACATTATTCTTTACCTCCACATCATGTTATTGTTGTGCTTTGGTTACAAGATCAAATAAAATAATAATTAGTGAATTTATCAAAAAATATTGATAAGAAAATATTATTAAAATAAACGTGAAAAACTTATTTAATTTAAGGTAATTAACGCTTCTGCGAAGAGTAGAATAATCAATGCAATAGAAATATATTTAGCATGTCGTCCTAGGATGGTACAGCCTTACAATAATACTTTATGAATCTGTACTACTCATAGAGTTACCTCACTCAAAATATTCTTCTTTATCTAAAAATATTTTGAAAATAGAGTAAGGTAGGAAAGTAGAAGAATGTGAAGGAACTCCCTTTGTTGAGCAAAAAGACATAACCTATTTATAACACTCATAATCTTGTAATTCTCACTTGTAAGTTAATAATAGGAATAAATTGAGCAATTATTATGTAATAATATGTCCTTAAGTAAGATAATTAACATATAACGGTTAGTTTGACTAAATCCTTAACGAGATAATAAATTTAATTTATAAAATATATTATTTTATTTTTTATTAAATAAAAATGCTTAATAAAAATATATAATAAAAAATTTTAATTATTATTTATATAAATTATTAAATTTTTATTAAAAATTCATATTAAAAAGTAAACTCAATTTACTAATTTTTTAGAAATTAATTAGTGTACCATGCAATCGGGATTCCCCTCTCTCTACCTTCTTTTCTTGCTCCTTGTTTCGATAACCCGTTGTGGTTTGTCGGTTGTTGGACCCTTTTTGATGGTTTTAGTTTTGGTTTTTTTGTTTTCTTGTGTTTGTTTTCTTGGTTTTTTGGTTTTTTGTTTTAATTGTTTGTTTTCAGATGCG